ATATACAACAGTGTGCATTGATATGATATAGCATTTCAAAATGATCACAACTAGCATTTTTAATGAGCATCAGACATATTCTGTTGAGTATGGGCGGTTAATTTAATATTGAGCATCGTGATCTCTGTTTCATATTTTCTAATTCACTTTGTTTTTCTTATAAAAAATCTAAATTATATAATCAATATGTGAATATAATGTAATATGATAACTTTAAAATAAGCATTGATATGAAATTTTAAAATGAGCATAACACAAATACCAAATGAGCATACATAACTTACAAAATAAGAGTGATATGAAAATAATAAGCTTCGTTAGTTGAGCACCAATGTGTTTTCATTGAGCATCAAATATCATCTATCGAGTATTATAAACATGCAATTAAGTATCATGATCTCTGCTCCCGTGTCTATAATCAACTCTCATCCAAATTTAATTTTATGAGTTCACAAACCTACATGATGAGCATAAACTAATATCAGAAGAGCATACGAAACTTACAAAATGAGCACGAAAAATTCAAAAGTGCGTTTGAATTCTTTAATGTGTTCAAATATTAATTTGTGTATGCTCATTTTTTTATTGTTATACTTATTCGAATATAACATAAACACATTTCTATAATATATACACCTAGTAGGTTCGTTATTAACAATATAATAAACTATCATAAAACATAACAATGAGAAATATAAAAACATTTTATTAAAAAAAGTTTAGTCTTTTGTTCTTGAATTACAAATATAATCTTGTTGTTTTTATAATATTTACAAATGTACATTTATTTTACACTATACTCATTTTAGTATAACACAAAACTCATGTTAGTAATAACATGCAATATTTAATAAACTAATAAAAATTCATCTTAAAATTAAAAAATAGAAAAACAAAACATTAATACCTAAAATATTTTATAATACACAAATTTAAAAAAGTTAAGTTAGAAGATTGAATGGAAAAAGAAAAAACAAACTCAAACATTAAATAATATTTTATATAATATATTTTCATAATAATTAAATAAAAACTAAAGTATAAAATTGTTGTAAAGAAAAAAAATAAAGAAAAAGTAGAAGAAGACAAGTAAAAGCAACCCAAAAAGAAAAGAAAAAAGACAAAAGAAAAAAAGTAAAAGCAACGAAACAAAGAAAACAAAAGAGACTAAAGAAGTAAAGGTCAAAGAGCAGGGGGAGAGTCATAACGGAAGAGCAGGGGAGAATGTGCGGAGAAAAAAGAATTGCAGCGGTAACAACAAACTTAACTAACTAATACCCTGTAAAGTGAAACTAATTACAAAAATGTCACTTGTACCACGAGCATGATACAGTTGGTACAGCCAATTGTACCATGTAATTTATCGGGCTGACAAAGGGATCTATTTTATTTTTTCGGGTCTGTCTCAATCTTATTTTTTATTTTTTAAAACCCTCCATCCATCTCCCCACTTTTTTCACCTTTTAAGTTACTTCCTAATGGTTGTAACGGAAAAGATGTGACAAGATCGGCCAATACTGGTCTCAAAAAGTAAGTTTGAGACCAATTTGGATTTTGACCCGAAACAAGAAAATCGAACCCGGTAAAAAAACAGTCAATCCTGGGACCTTTTTCCACTCCTACTTATACGGGACAGACCGAGAGCAAAATTAGCCGCTCTCTCTCAAAGTTTAAATTTCTCTTGAGCTTAACTTCCCCCATTATGACAGGACTGTGGTAGGGTGTTGAGACTTGAAAGCATAATAACAAAATAGCCTAGCACATCTGCATATTAAAGATCAAGGTCGGATCAATGGAAATGGCCAGACCGGGAGGGACATGAACATGAAAGTACTCATATGGTGTGGGAGTTGGGCAAGTCACAACTCACAAGCATAAGTGTGGGGTAGGTCATACAGCGCATGAAGGAATACAGTCGATTAGTTTTAGTTGAAGAGAAACGCTCAGGTTGCATCAGATGATTCCTTTATGTTATAGGTAGTACTCCGTAAGTTGCATCATTCTTCTCTCAGGAATCCTATGCTTATTTCTCTAGAAAAATTCTTTTCACGGTTCTTATTTTGCCTTGAATACAGCCAATTCGTCTAAAAAATGCAAAAAATTTAAAATATTTGTATACACAGACAAAATAGAAGCGTGTCCAAAAACTTGTACACCAAGAATGGTTTGAGATAGGGGTGGGCATTTCAGTTTTCGGTTCGGTTTCGGTTTAATCAGTTTGATAGAAAATGTACCAAATACAAACCGATTAAGTTTCGGTTTGGTATGGTTCGGTTCGGTTTGGAGTTCGGTTTAACAAAGTATTAAGGTTTGGATTGAAAAAAATTAACTCAAAATAATGAACCAAGAAGCGATACTAATGAACCAAATATGATGTTAGATATAAATTTGCAAACAGTAACAAAACACATATGAACCAAAAATATATAAGCATGACACATTTGTAAGCAGCAACAACAACGGGAATGAATCAAATTATATATAAAGCCGAAACAAAAACAAAACTAGTGCTTGTAAGTAATGAACCAAATATATAGTAATAGTAGATAATAAATTATAGTTAAATACTATCTACTTAAATCACTATAAGTGTTATAGTTGTGAATGTAACTCTTGTAGTAAACTCTAGTCCTGGACACTAAAATTAAAGAATTAAAGCTTCAAAAAGATTAACATCAATCAAATTAATGAGAGAAATCTTATATTGTGGTTTGGTTTGGTTTGGTTTGGTGTAAGTTGGTTTTGATTTGTTATTAAAAAAAATTATTTCATTTTTAGATTAGTTCGGTTTTATTCGGTTTTATGATTTCAGTTTAGTTTGGTTCGGTTTAATACGGGTTGGGAGGAATACAACCAAACTCAAACCAAATTACAAATGGTTCGGTTTCGGTTCGGTTTAATTCGGTTTGGTACGGTTCGGTTCGGTCAAACCGAACCGTTATGCCCACCCCTAGTTAGAGAGTTTGGGCCAAAGAACTACCTTCAGTGTATTGATATGAAGCATAATATGGGTTTGGAAGAAAAGGGGCAGAAGCCCCTATGGGTTTACTGAAGGCGGGAACGGGCTGGTTGTGGGCTGCTTAATTAATATTTATTCTTTTTAATTTTCCTAATTTGTTTCCTATTTAGAATTAATTAGGATTTCTAATATTTGTTTCCTATTAGGATTAATTAGGATTTCTATTATTTGTTTCCTATTTGAAGTTGATTAGGATCTTTTTTATTCTATTTCCTAGTTGTAGTTGATTAGGATTTCTAGGATTTAGTTTCCTAGTTTGGGAATTAGTAGATGGGTATATAAACCCCTTGTTAGGATTCATTCTGGCTAGGGATGGACTCGGGTCCGGGTCAGGCCTAGGCTCGGGCCGGGTCCGGGTCGGGCCTAGGCCCGGGTGGGCCGGCGGGTCAGAAATGGTGGACCCGGGACCGGGCCGGGTAACCACCGGGCCGGGCCGGGCCGAGCCCATTATAATTTTTTTTTGTTTTCCTCTTCCTAATTAACCTCCCTCCCACCCCCAACCCCCCAAACCACCCCAAATGGCCCAAAATACCTAGCCCAACCCGAAAATTTAAAAAAAATGAAAAAAAAAATAGTTTTTGGCCCGAACCGGGCTCGGCCGGGTCGGGCTTTGTTTTGGGTGACCCAAGCCCAGACCGGAAAACCCACGGGCCGGGCCTACCCAGACCAGTCACTGACCGGGCCACCGGGTCAGGCCGGGCCGGAACAGTACCGGTCCCGGGCCGGTTCCGGGTCAGATCACCCGGCCCGAGTCCATCCCTAATTCTGGCTCATCTTGGAATAAAATTGATTTTAGCCTTTTGGTTCTGGGCAACGGTATTTTTATTGTTGATTATCTAGGCAACGATTTACCCCGTTGGTTTTTATTTTTCTGTTACACAACATGTACCAATGAATTTATTTTACCATATTTAATTAATAATAAAATCGAATTATTTTTTAATATAATTGCACATATTACTGTTGCTGGCCAACAAAGTTTAAAAAGGGTATTCACGTTCACCAAGAGTATGCATTTCTTTGAAGCGCACGCTTGAGATTTTTCAACGTATTTAGGACTTTAGGCAGATCAGTGGGCATAGAACAAAAAATGACGGACAACCAACCGTGTTTAGCAAGACTAGCAGGGACTTTTGCACTAATAAACAAACTTTAACATGAATTCCTTAAACCAACTTTAAAAAAAGTTTTTATGACTTGGTTATGTACTCATGCATTAACACTGGATGAACACGGATCAATACCCAGTCCGATTTTCGATTCCAGTACATTTTCTTAGAATCCCACCCCCAGGCCCGTCCACCAACATGGCCACATCCCCAGTGACTATTTAGAGGTAGTTGTGCAATCTTTTGTGCTAGAAAAATGTATAGAATCAAAACCTGAAATGCCAGCAGCCCAGCACTAGTACCCCTCAACCCTGAAACCCCCAGACACTTACACTGCCAGGTCAGTTGCCAGAACCATGCCAACAGGCAACAGTCCACCTCTAATTAACACTCACAAACACAGGACGAATCATGTATGTGAATGTCTATATGCATATTCCGCAAGATTAGAAAAGGTGGCAGTATTAAAAATTGTCTTAAATGTGATATTAATATAGATTTGTGTTGCACACATGTACAAGAGCTAATCGTGACAGTCCATGGTCAACAGACTGGCTTACATGACTGGTCAGCATTTCCATTCCTTCAAAATGGCTGGTTGAATTGATATATTGTGGTACACAATCTATGCAAACGGAACAGAAATCAGGAACATGGCTTCAAATAGGCCAAAGATTTATTTAATTGTTATAACGACGTCCAGCTTCTCAATCATTGGTATTATCAAGATAGAATCATCAAGATGCAATAATATTCATCAACTGCAACAAATAGCAATAGAGGTGACCATATAGGTGCGTAGTCTACTGTAGGATCTACATATAAGTCAACTAAAAGTGATGGCACACCCCCCCCCCCCCCCCCCCCCCCCGTGCCATCTCAATCTTCACGGGTATATACATGTGTACATTTACGAAACTGAACCACAACAACGTAGGCAAAACAAGAGACACTTACTGAAGATCCTCCCCCTTGGAGACATTGGTCACTCGAAGGACAGCTTGGGCACTTAACGGTGAGAGCTTTGATTGGCAGAAATGCTCCCAAGAGGAGGAGGTGGTAGTTTCTTCTGGTTCCTTATCATTCCCCGCCTCTGTTGTACTCTTCTCATACACAGTCTGCAATTCCAATATAAGAGCACGGGCTGCTTCCCTGGACTCTGGAAGCTGGTCACTGAGCTGAGATGCAGCGACTTGGATCAAGTTCTCGAGACCATATGCTTTTATTCCATCAGGTCCCTACATCATATACAATATTTAGGGAACATTCAGAATGCGGTAAAGAGGAAATGCCAAGGGTGTTTTTTGTCTACTTAGATCTCACAAAATACAGACGAAAATTTCTTTAAGATAATTTTTCAAGCTCATTTTGTTAATTTATTTTTTATATATATAAATAAGGACCGAGTCATCTTGATATAATGATATATACTACGTATATATATATACACACACACACAATACACTACATTAATCATTTTTCATTTTTGTTTTCATATGTCAAAGCCAAACATAAGAAATTTATCAAGGAAAAACTCCATATACTTGAGCATTGTGGGATTCAAACATGCATTTACATACCCCAAACGTTCAGATTTACCTTGCAAAATACGAAGGGACATTTTAGATTCCTTAATGCACTTAGATATATTAGGGGCTGTTTACCTGTGACTTAATAGACTTAATGAGAATAACGATTTAACCGTTCAGCCATTAAGTCATGTTTGAAATCTTTAAAAGTAGCCATTAGCTTTTCTTTTAGTAATATTCATGTAAAAAAACTTTACTTATCATTTCTATTTTCTTTCCTTTGCATTTTCCAGGTTCCAAAGTCCAAAGTCCAAACATACCCAAAGACTGTGTCCAAAGCACCGAAAAAGTTAAAGAAAGGGGGAAAAGAAATTTATTGTGTTTGCTTTTAGAAAGTAAGGGAAAATCAGACTTGCTGAAAACTTTTTACATTCATTTATGTATATTTCGATTTTTTATTCTAATATAAAACTGAGGAGTTTGACACATTTCTAAATTCATTATTGAGCTGAAACCAACTTAAAATTGCTCACATATTTTATTTTCCTGGCATTTTTCTGGTTCCAAAGGGTTAATATGGGTTTGACCAAATGTATAAATTCATTATTGAGCTCAAAACAACTTTTAGAGTTCTCACATTTTTTATTTCCTGTTACTTTTCTGGTTCGGAAAGCCACTTACTACTGCTTATCATTTCCATTTGTCCTCTTTTGAAGTGCTTAAATCTCAAAATACACTTATTTCTTGAATCATAATCAAGGTCATTTTCACTTCATAAACACGAGCCCAGGAGCAATACTGAACCAAGCAAAATAAGTAGAGTGAAAGAGGGAGTACAACACTGACCAGATTTGGTACACTTTTAGAAAAACATGTTGATGCCTTTGCTCGAATTCGAGGGTTTCTGTTTTTAAGATAAGGTTGCAGTTTGGGTAATAATAGAGCTGGCGAAACCCAAGTAGTCATTGTGGTTAAGGATCTCTCAGCTGCCTCGCAAACAAATCGCTTGTCTTGAGAAGATTTCAGAAGAAGTTGAAGAAGCTGGTAAATTGCAATTTTGAAGCAAGAATTACTCAAAGTTGCACAAGGGCTTATAAACAGTATGTAAAACACATGCATGAATGGCATTAGACGGGGCAGTATTACCAATGGATCCATTGTACCAACTACGCTTTCACCATATGCTTTAAAAATGTCAGCAGATGTCATGATTGCAGTTTTGCAAACAGCACTTCTTGGGTTTTTCAGTGATTTTACGACTAGGGATATTACATTTTCCCTGTGCCATTTAAGAATTGTTACAATTAGATAAACTTAACATACGAGATTGTGTGCACACAACATTCCATCATGCACATTGAATGATAACAGTGTTATATTAGTACATTGCATACTCTATTTGAAATTTTATACCATCATCAGTACTATACCATCATCAGTACATTGAGACTTACAGCATCTCAAGCATAGCTTCTTTGTGAAATATACACATACGGCGTACATCATTGAGTGTCTCACAAACTAAAACCCAGTCCTTGGAGTCCAGACCTGCTGAGAGTGTCTAGAAAACCAAAATAGGAAAAGCATATTAAATAAAATCATAAAGTGGCTCTAGAATATAACAAGCATCACTTGATGCAGAATTGAACAGTCTATTGAGATACCTTCAGGATAGTATCTACATCTTCTACATCTTTCAGATTCTCTGACTCAATGTATTCAACTTCTGAACTTCCTCCCTCTGTTCCAGAGTTAAGCTTCACTTCTTCATTAGTATCAGCTTGAACCAAGGTTACAGTTTTCTCAGCTGCAGGGAGGGTCTGAAGACTTCCAATAGCCTTCTCGGTCATCATTGGGATTTGAAGTACCTGAATGTTAAAGAGTAATCAGGGAAGCTCATTGATATCTCTGCAGATGTTCATCTACATTTTAACCAAAACAAAACTATCCAGACTACCAAACATCACAAATTCAAGAAGGTGTGAAATCGAGAATCTCCATTGCTAATTTGAAGCAAGTCAGATATAGACATTATTCATGCTTTTAATCCCTTTCTTAAGGCTGCAGGCACGCAAACCCCTTTCGCTTGGAACCAGATACATGCTTAGCAGCTTTGAGCCTTTGAGTCAAACCTGAGTTGACCTCAGATCCTAAGTAAAAGTTCTCGAGAAGAACTCGAGTTTTGATATTTGAGCTTTTTCGAGCTAGAGTCGAATTTGAGCATGTAAAAAAAATCAAGCTCGAGCTCAAGCCTATGTGTTCAGGCTCTGATCAGCTCAAGTACACCCCTATTTAGGATATGTTGTATATGGATATATTTGCATTTATAATTTTATATATAAATATAAATACACATACATAAATAGTTAAGCTCAGGGTATCTGTGATACAAAAACATGACTCTTGCAAATGAACCCCACCGAATAACCCTTTCTTCTAGCTCTGCCTTTCTCCTACAGCTTCTACGTGTGTACAAACAAGTATATCCTTACAATATATTTTAGGTAAATACAATCTCATAATTCAAATATGTATAAACACACTTACACACATATGTATAAACCTTTTTATCATACAATCATACTACCTCCGTCCCGCTATGATTGTCCCATTTTACCTTACCGGTCCGTCCTACTACAATTGTCCCATACCAAATTTGGTAAAGTTTGTGTGGCTCTAAATCATTCTTACTTTATTCTTACTTTATCAATTCAATATCAACCACATAAACCACTTTTTATTAATTTGCGTGTCACTCCCTCTTCTCCCATTGTTAGAGGGACGGAGGGAGTAGTTGTCGTGGCGCATGGCGACGGCGATGGCGAGAAGGCATTTTTCCATGGTGATGGCGCAAAAATGGCGTCGTCACGTGACAAAAAAAAAACTAAAAAAATGAATTATAGACACTAATTGTATCCCCAACCACCAAAATACGATAAAACAAGTTGAATAACAATATTCTAACCAAAACATGTGAAGTTAAATATCCTATGTAGGATAATTCAGAATATACAAATAATAGAAATAATTTGAATTAATCGTATATTGTATTAATAATATGTTAAGCTATTTATTAGTTTACTTTAAATAATGAATAAAATAGAATAAAAGCAATATGGAGGTCGCAGTCAGGAAGGGAACAAACAACTGGGGATTCAACGCAGAGAGAGTAACCCGTCGCTGGCGAGTCATGACTTGAGGTTGATGCTCTATGGAGGTTGCCGGGAAGAATTGAATCGCAGATGCATAAAATTTCTGAACGTTTCCCATGAATTTCAGATGCTTCGATCCAGATTATTCGACTGGGATGCACAGAGAGTAGCCTGTCACCATGGCCATGGCGCCCAAATGGCATCGCCACTGGTATAGGTATCGGCGTATCGCCATGCCCACTTTTCATGGCGCAGGGGAGATTTGTGTGCCACATGGCGCACGCGCCATTCTGCGCCATCAACAACCATGCATACAATAATTATATACTACCTTTGTTCCCTTATTATTGTCCCATTGCGGTTTACGATGCTTGACTAAGATAAAGCAAACGGATCTCTGTTCGCACTCAAATTATTTTTAGGAAAAAAATAACATATTCAAAAACTACATTAAAAGCTTTACAAAGTCGCAAAAACCAGAATCAAATTTGACAAACAATTGATATATAAAGTAAGAGTGATTTGTGTTGAACAAGTGAATAGAAACTGGGACAATAATAGGGAGAAGGAGGGAGTACTTCGTATATACTTTCAATACTTTTATTCCTTAATTTGGTTCTTCATCAAGTGTTCATATATGATGACATTTAAAGTATTCGGTAATCAAACAACAAACAACATCCAAGCCTTAATCCCAAAAGAATTTAAAGAATTCGGTAATAAATGACAAAAATAATATTAAAAATGTTACAGTATATTTTATCAGAAAATACGAGAGTTAAATACTTAAATCCTTCAATAAGTGAAAATCTGCTTTGATTTTCTTCCAAACCTCTGCTTTTTGTTCATTGAACTGTTAAAATCATAATAAGCGAACACGTAAAACAAAATTACCAATTCGAACCTGCTCAGAAATCGAGTCTACACAAAAGATCCTGCAGATTTCACAATGACAACTAGGATTGAACTCTCAAGTTGCATAGGGTGAGATAAAATCAGAAATCTCACATTTTTTTTACTTTTAAATTACAAACACGACAAAAACAAAGAAAATTGTGCTTCAATTACGTAATCCTTTCAGGCAGCAAAAAATGTAAAACGTCAGTTAGAGAGTAGATCAGCAGTTATAAATGGGTAAAATAGTGTAGAAGAGGTCTTTGATTATAAAACGCAAGTAAAGAGCATTACTGTTACCTTCTGTGAGTTAGATCTGTACAAAACATAATCAAAGTGTCGGTGGTTATGCGGACGAATCTGACATCGAACGGCGGTGGGGGTAGCGAATGCAGATTGAAGCCGGCAAGCCGAGCAGGTCCTTGTGAACTATTCCGCTGGCCTTCTGATGGAAGAAGGAAGGGGGCGAGGGTTACAGTGGACTAGTGCAGCCGTGGGATTTTATCCGAGAGGGATGGGGGTCGTTTTCTAATTCAGAAAATGAGGGTAGTAGACGGATATCCGATTTTCACTTAAACCAAAAAATAAGGATGCTTCATTTAAGCACTCTTTTACACATCTTATACATATACGTTTTTTTGTTTTAATTTTGTTCACAGACAATATTTTGTTTGTGCAAAACTTTGTCTGTGAATCGATATTCACAGACAAAAAAAAGTTTTCACAGACATATGTGTGTACAAAAATGTTTATAATTAAGAGTGTGTACAAACATCATTTTTGAAACCATAATTAAAGTTGGAACCGTTTGGTTTTTCAGTCGGTAGTCGGAACCGAACTGAATAATACTTTGTACATCTGATTTTTAATAATATTCCCGTTTTTAAATAATTGCAACAATAAGGTTGCTGCGAAATCCTTTGGACCATGGCTGCGGGCGGGTGGAGGACGATCTCGCCCTATGTCAAGACTCTAGAACATAGGACAGGTGATGGGGAGCCTAGTTTGCTAGTCATTGGCTCAGGTAAGCCCAATTCAGTATCAGTGAATCTGGTTGCTTCTTTTGAGGTGACAGGTTCTAAGTCTGATTCAAGGGCGGATGATAGATAGTGAGCTCTTTGTCTGGTTGTATCCTGCTTACGTTCTTTCTTATCAATATAAGTCACCTTCTTCCCAAAAAAATTGCAACAATATACTTCACAACTTTAATCATTAGTATATTTAATTTTTTAGTTGTAAAAAATTAAAAAAAATCAGATTTTGAAAATTTATGATAAGACAATTTTAATAATATTTTATAAAACAAAACAATACAAAAAATAAAAAGTAGGGAATTGCGGCCGTCTCCCTTGAATTAGGGTTCCAGTTTTTGCCGTCTTGTGTGCGGCGCTTAGATTTAGTCGTCCTTTGGAGCGACGATTAGGTTAGCAGAGAAGGAATTGTTCGTGGGAATATCGCTAGGCGTGTTGTGGCGGCCGATGGAGAAGGAGTTGCGGGAGCCAAGGGAAGGAGAAAGGGAGGCGTCCAGAGGGGTTGAAATTGCGGGGCAGACGGAGGTTGCGCGTCAGGGAATCAATCGAGCGACGGATGAGAGTTGTGCCTTGTTCGTGTCAACAATCATAGCGATGGTTCGGCCTCCTCCTAAACCACCGCCAAGGGATGAACGAGATGCTAGGGTTCAAGATACTTGTTTTGCTTATTTAGTTTTTTTCATGTTTCGTTTTCCTCCTATTAACTTTTATTATTTTATCATTTGTTTTATTATTATCGTCAATATTGTTAAGTTTGTCATTTTGTTTGGGAATTTAGCCTCTTTTTATGTCATTGGGTTGTTTGGATCTATAGGAACAGAGATGGTTGTGTCAAACCCACTGCATGGTTAGCGATTCGTGTTGCTCTTTCAGGGGTGACCGTCTCTAAGTCTGATCATAAGGTTTACAGTCGTAGTTGTTGGAGTTTAGTTGGTGATAGGTTTGTTTTTCCTTCGATTGATGTAATGATTCTGAAATTTATGATATGAATAGAAGCAAGTTTCCGTTCAAAAAAATAATAATATTTTATAAAACTAATTTATAAACTAGTGTAACACCCGGGGCATGCCCCGATAGTGTTAATTTGAAATGGGTGATGTGACAAATACAGATAACCATTGTGAATTATTCATAGGATATGTTCAAAATTTTGGCTATAATCGATTTCTTTTACTCCCTCTGATTTGTCGCTTTATATTTAATCAAACATTATTTTCTAAGTCAATGGTGTTGAACTTTAACCGATTATATATTTATATACGGTAGTAATGATAATATGGAAATATATGAAAATGTTATTTGTTAAAACTTCTTGCTCATAAAAGTATAAATTTATTAAGTTTCACATGAATATATTAGTTAAAATAATATATATATATATATATGGAGTGGTTCAAATGAGAACACTCCTTATTGTGAGAAATAAGAACAAATCTTAACCATAGATCTTAGTAAATTAATGGCTAAAAATGATTAGGTGCACGGTTGTATGGTGGGAGTGCAAACATTTAAAAAATACTCTTGCACTCTCTATAATCCATACGTAGGTTCATAAGGCCACTACAGTAATTTTAAAAAGAATTCTTTAATGTGTATCCGTTTGAGGCTTCCATTTACCTAAAAAGTAGGTAAAAATAAATATCCAAATTATCTAAAATGTTTTTAGTTTAAAATTGATTTAACTTTTAAAATTATAATCTGATTTTAATAAAAGTTATATCAAATTAAACAATTTTTTATGATCTCTCATATGACACCAATAATGCATATATAATTTTTTTTTAAAATAAGTATAATATGTGTACTATGGACCACAACAAGTATCTCTAGTTACTGCGCACAAGAACATGTATCTAACACACAAGTACAAAAATTGAATGCACAAGTACAAGTCTCCAATGCACAATATGTATAACAAACACTATAATAAGTATCTTGAGCACAAATTTCAATATTTAATGCACAACAAGTAAGAATTAAGTAATATGACAACAAGTATGTCATGCACAAGAACGGAAATCTAACACACAACCTCAAATATGTAATGATTGTAAACTAGTATCTAACACACAACTCATTTGTGTAATGCACATAAACCTGTATCTGACTCACGTTTCGTACAAAAATCGAATGCACAAATACAAGTCTCCAATGCACAATATGTATAACAAACACTATAATAAGTATCTTGAGCACAAATTTCAATATTTAACGCACAACAAGTAAGAATTAAGTAATATGACAACAAGTATGTCATGCACAAGAACGGAAATCTAACACACAACCCCAAATATGTAATGATTGTAAATTGGTATCTAACACACAACTCATTTGTGTAATGCACATAAACCTGTATCTGACTCACGTTTCGTATATGTCAATTGTGCATTATAAACAAATTATGCACATTAGAATAAGTGTGTGCATCACTATATGTTACTTGTGCACTATAGTCAATTGTGCAAACATGTTATTTAGAATTGTTGAAAAAGTGGTCATTCAAAATGTACGTGTACTTAATTTCTTGAAAAAGTGTGTGCATCACAATATTATTTTTGATGAGACAAGATAATTTATGAGACAAGATAATAACAAAATTATTTTACTTAAAAAAATTCAAGTGAGTATGTGTGAAAAATAAAGAGCAATACTCCAATGTTTAACCGCCAAGGAGTATTTAATAATATATGGAATCTATTGTTTACATTAATGGACCACAAGAAGCTATTAATTGCCAACGGCAGTTACCCAAAATGACTTATTGTAAAATACATAAATAACTTTGGTTCAATCAATTTGAGCGTAGATCCGTATATGTCAATCAATGGTTGTGATTTGTTCTCACATTCTCACGTTAAACATTGTTCTTATTTGAACCAAAATCTCTCTCTCTCTCTCTCTCTATATATATATATATATATATCAAAGTTTATCATATTTTATTGAAAAAGTCAAATATGGCTAAATAAAGAGGGGCAGAGGTAGTATGAACTAACCACCACCATAGAATATGGATGATGAATCGCCATCTTTTGGAGTATGAATTTGAGGTTATATTGTGATTTATGTGCTTAGTATTGTAATAGTTATTAATTATTTATATGACTAATTATATCATGAGGATGATTATAAGAAGTGTTGAATTGAAATTGGGAATATGCACGTGTATTATTTTGGAGCTTACAGTTTTACATTATTTTGGATATTCACGTGTATTATCGGTGTTGTGCGATTAGAGTCCCGTTCGCGTGAACTAAAAAACCATTATTTAAAAATTTAGTCTTAAATTAAAGCCTCGCTCAAATGTGTAAGATTAATTTTTATGATTAGAGTCCTATTACATGTATTAGAGATTCAAAGTCTCATTATTTAAAAAAATGATGTTGTAAAATTATTTTGGAAACTGAATTGACATGGTATTTATTCCGAGAATTATACTCCATTAATATGGTTGATATTAAGAAGTTGTTATATTTTCCGGATATGAATATTTATGATGTGAAATTTTTAAGATCTGATTTTTTACTGAATAACATACAAATAATGACTACAATAATAACATTATTCATGATTAACTTCAATGGAAGCAACGTACAATAATAACCTACAAAAATATTTAGATTAAATTGTAATCATCATAATAGTAAAAATAATAAATTATGTTTGAATTTTTATGATTTGAATTTTTCTGATCTGAATTTTCCTGATTTAATCTAATCTAGATTGAATATTTTGGGCTAATATTATTTGACTTTTTATTTGATTTTGTCTGAATAAATTAAGAATAAGCAATACAAAGTAAACAATAAGAATAAGAGTAACATAATAGCTTATAAGGATATGTTTTTTACGTTTTTTCTCCTACATTTCTCTAGACTTGTCCATTAGCCGTTTCATCTTTGTACGAACTAATTAAATGATTTAATGTTTGGAGTCAACATAATGTCAAATGTTAGTTATTTATCATTTTTCCTCCTTTTTTCTCCATTTTTCCATTATAGCTATTCCATCTCGTTTTTTGACCAGATCTCCTTTTGTTTGGAACTAATTAAATGTTTTCATAATAATGACAATAGATTTTTTGTTAATCAATAACATAGTGATATGTCATCAGTTTGTAACCCTGCTTTACTAAATAAAACAATAGATTTAAATATATAATGAAAATTGGATTTGTAATATGTGTCATGACTATTGTGTAAATGTGCACTTCCCATAATGCAAATTTAAACCCTTTCACTATAAATTTGACATTTCATTGATTTATTACTCAAATTTTACAATAATTTTTTTTATATATGCAATTTGTTGTCATATGAAAGATCATAAAACTTTATGATTTTTGGTACACTTTTTGTAAAATTTATATCATATGAAAGATCATAAAATGTTTTAAATTTTAATGTATTTTCTTTCTAAAATTGTGAGTACAGATAAATAAGTTATAATACATTAAAATAAGATTTTTCTCTCATTCCCTTTCTCAGAATGATCATCGATGCATGTAGTGAATAACAATGATGAACCGAGTCAA